GCGGTGAAGAAAAATTGCTGATATAATTTTCCGCGAACACATGGCGTCCTGGGAGCATAGGGGAGAAAGCTATTTTGTTAATGGAGCACAATGGAAAAGAAAACTCAATCAAGCGCACGAACCGTCGTGATTTCTGCGCCTAACTACGAGAGATATATTGGGGGCCGGAGGTCGTCATTAGCAGAAAACGTTACCCGCAAAGCCGAAATTCTTCTAAATAACCTCAGTCTAATTTTTCACATGTGAGCTTTATTTATGAACCAGAGTTAATTCTCGAATATAACATAAATATTTATAGCTTTCTTTTTGTTAGTAACAAATATAATATGTAATAGTATAATGACTAATCTCGACATATATTTATATGTTTTTTGCTATTATCTTTTAAATTATAATTCTTATTTCTTTGTTCCGAGTGATACTTGCTTGCATAGTAAATGAAGTGTTAGTCTAAGTACTGTCTTATTTTAGTTCAGAAAGAAAATCTCTTTTTAGATGCTATATCTTTGAAATTGTCTCAGTAATCATCTTGAATGCGAACGTGCTCAGATGATTTGAACTAATTCTGAAATCTGTGATATAAGCGTAAATTAAAAATTAATTAAAATTGCATGTTGTAGTGTCAACCGCACGCACTAATTACTGCAGTATCGGAAAAATCTTCACAATATAGAACACTTGGTAAGTAATCCCATTTTTATTTAATTTCTAACTACAATTTAGTTAGCTTTATTAAATTTATTAACTGATAACTTCATAAAAAACCAATATTGGAAAGACCCAAGATTTTATTTAGGCAATGTACTTCTTGGAAGGTGTTTTTAACTACAAGGTCATTCTTAAATTAAAATGCTCAACTTGTGAATACAACTTACAAAACTCATAATACCAAAAACGTCTGTTCCTAATTTCTTTGCCGTTTTTAAGAGAGCCATCACTCATTTACGACATTTAGAACAAGAAAATTTTGGGCTTCGACACGAAGTTTTGGCAATTTCCGCACTTGGCGACACTTTTTTGTGACCTCGTACTTTGTCGTTAATCTTAAGAACAAAAAGTCTTTCCCCGCCGAGTTGTTACAGTAACAGTGTAAGACGACAGATTTAAATGGCCCACTCAAATTGGCCCTCAATGAAATATTGGTGTGATTATTAGGGTTGGAATAACGGTAGCTAAGCTTTTAATTTATAGGGCAAATAATTCTCTCATACTCTCGTTTCATATAATGCTAGAAATACAAGTTTTAATTATAAAAAAAGCTATCCCTAGTATACACACTAATAAGCTCTTTTAAAAACAAACATAACGTTCGCGAGCAGACTAGATAAAAGCTTTATTGTATAATATTTTAAAAGATAAAAATTTTCATTTACTGTAACGCAACAAACTGACAGACTATAAAACCAGTACATTATTTTTTTTGCATTCGTTTTTCATGAATCATTATATTAACATATGTATTTTGTGTTTTTGTATTTTGTATGAACACTGCTATTTAAAGTTTTTATACTATTAAAAGTTATGACATCAGAATAACTGACAAGATAAAAAAATAAGCTAGAACAAATATATTCTTTATATTATGAGTGACTTTAACTAGGGTTTTTTCATATATACTTTTCTGTAACCGCAATCATTATCCACAAAATTGCATGGAAGCTATATGTATTAATAAAAACGATAGTTCTACTAGTAAAACCATTATAATACTTAGTGGATATGTTGGCAAACTCTCTGCACTTTCCATTTTTTGTTCTTCCAAGTCCTAAAATTCACGAGAATAACAATATACTATGTTGAGAGGTGTCATTTAGCAATGACATCCAATTACCATGAAATAAACCGTTCGCTCGTTTATCGGAATTTCATTAAAAAAAATGAAAATGCACAGACACAAGAAGTACACGGAATTTAGGTGCAATAACTAAAAATTTTTATCGAACTTTAAAACAGTATCACCGTATTATTTTTTTTAAACGGTTATATTGGCATTAATGAGGCACTTAGTTCAAGCAATCATATGCAAATAAAAAAAAATAAAGGAGCTAATATTCTTAAACTGCCGAACTTATATTAAAAAATATCATAAAGGACCATCGCAAGGATTTCACTGAAAAACAAGAACTAGAATTCAGTTGATACGTTTTAGAGCTATTGTGCTACACACAAAGACACACACAAACACAAATCGATGTCAAACTTATAGCACCCTCAATTTTGCGTCGGGGCTTAAAAATTAATTCCTGCGAAATTGAAGTAGATTTAAATAGTTTATATTCTACCATAACTGCCACGAGTTTATAAATTTATAGTTAGGACTTAAATCCGTTATCCTTTTATTTATAAAAACGATGCAAATATATATAAAATATGCCTCATTTTTATTCCAAACCGAACATTAAGTAGAATTTAGGTCGTTTTTAAAATTAATCAGGCTATTTTTAAAATCATTTCAATAGCAAGTTTCAAATCAATTACCATGATATGATGATGATTTTAAGGGGTAATTTGATTCGTTTTACTTAAATATAAAGGCCACGAGTGATGTCGACAAATATTTCTGCCAAACATAAAAAAACGTATTGATAAAAAATAAAGGTTATAAGAACTGAGAATTAATGTCTTTTTTATTATTTCATTTGTGTACTCTTACTATATATGACATCCGACGCCCTGATTAATAAATTAATAAGTGTTATAAATAACGCAGACCTGAATAAAGTGCCACCGGGTTCATTCATGTGCATAAGTGTAGTTTGAAGTTCAATTTTTTCTGAGCGATACGCTAAGGTCAAATAAACATGGTTCCTTTTATCTCGTATTTTTTAATCTATCTCTATCGTAATAATGAATAAAGGAAAGGCTTCAAGGGGTTACTAAAACCTGTTCCAAGAATAGCTTGCAATAATATAAGAGTAGAAAACACAAAAGTTTGTAAACTGCACTACTAAGAACACAAAATGCGGCATCTGTGTAACGTGAAGTCTACATTTTATAATTATTCATTGTAAGCAAAGTGCCTTCGGGATACTAAACTATCTTATCGATAAACACAATATACACAAAATACCTATAAAGAATAAGGCAGCTGGCGGAAGGCAAATGAATTTAGATAACATTCGTATAATACTATAAATAAAATGTCTTTAACTGCATAATTTATTGCAGCTACAATTTCATTAACTTAAATTATACTAATATTATATATAGTGCAGGATTCTAGGGTAGGCAAACGCTATAAAACTTCATAAAGGAAATTGCTAGTGTATAACTGGAAATTTTATGTTTTTGCTCCTTTTTATAGACTCATATATTGAGGCTTAGTCTACACTGAAACCAATTTTACTGCCTTCACGATCATAAGTAGGTGTTTTATGAGTAGCACCGTGCAAAATTATTTTTTTTTTTTGATTGGATATGGTAAGTATACTAAATAAATATCTTAAGTATTTTAGTGGAAAAAAGGAAAATTAAGAGGTGGTAATAATAGTTTACATTAGATCATATAGGATTATTTTTTATCCCTGTTATAATTGAGGCTCATATTCCCTTAAATGCTTTTAAATAATCACTTTTGAGGTATTTTTGTACTCATTTTATATATATTTATATTTGTATATATATACAAATAGTTTAAGTATTAAATGATAATAATATTAATATCATAGGTATATTTTTCCATACGAGTATGTTGGAGTGACATGTAACAAAATTAGGAACAACACTGATATATTTAAAGTTATATTATGTACATATGTACAGCTTCCACCCAGGTGAAAATTAAAATGGATCATATAATTAGTGCTTATATATATTCACTAATATATTCTCATAATTACTCGTAATTCATTATAAAATAAAATTATTCCTAAGAAGCAAGTCTTATTTGATTCAATGAACCCAAAAAAATGCTGCTTTTTACCTAAGGTATAAAAGAATACTGCTTTCTTGGAAGAGAATCTTATTACGCTTAGATTCATTTATATGGGCACTTGCTTTCTTTCTCATTTAAAGAAGGAAGTGGTTCGTAAAGTTTCACGGAGCGCCGCCTCCGGCCATCGCAAGCTCTTCACACGAACCATTTGCTTCGATCAATCACCGAAGTCTGCCTACATCGCTTTGAAAAAGTGAGTCAGACATTATGAAAGACTAAAAATAAAATTAAATATTCACCAGCTAAGCCATCGATTTTCCACGAAAAAAAATTTTATGTTTAAAAACTAAAAATTTAACGTCATTTTCACTATAAACTGTTAACATTAACGATATAGTCTAGTCTACTCTAAGTTTTTTACTGTCCAATGTTTTAAAACAATGATTTATTTTATTTGCTTACTTTAGAACGTTCAATATAAATAGCAGTTTTTACGATTATGCAAAAAACGTTTTCGTTTGCATTAAATTTTGAAATTGTTATTATTATAGTATTGATAGATAAAACACAGAAATTATTAATAAGAGTTAATATTCAAAACTTTAAAATAATTCAAAAATGTCATCTTAACAACGACTCATAAGTCATATACTTATTCAGAACATTATTACTGATGTTGCGGTAGATAAATTCAACATACGAATATTTCACGTGAAAGTCGTTTATTTAAAAGGGTGTAATTAAAAACTATTATCCTAATGAAAATAACAATGACATCATGTCTATATTTCATATGCCACAAAAATGTTTTACCATAGGACACTTTTAACAACAATTTGAACATACTAAAAATACAAGAAAATTTTTTGCACAATATTATTTAAAATAAATTTTCTGGTGAGATATTATATAATAATATTTGTTTTTTGTATATTTTTACACTTTCCTGTTCAAAAATTCTTGTAAGTTTCTATATTTCATAGTGAAACTTCAATTAACGCGGTTCTTTTTTTTATTTTTTTATTTGAATTTATAATTTGAATGTCATCCTGACACAACTTCATTGTCGACATCATAATTCTGTAAGAAACCTCTACAACTTTTAATTGGAGAAAACTTCCTTAAGATGTTCAAACTTATTGATCTTATCAAGGTAATTAAATCTGCACTATTTGCCTTATTTCACTAATGAGTAAATGAAGTAAGTTTTCCTTAAATAAGCCTATTATCTTGACAGTGACAGCAAATATAAATATATAGTTTACGAGTACATAACGGTATACTATGTTTAATTTTATAACGGCAATAATAAAGATCTTATTTGAAATCTTAGTATTGCACACCTTGGTTTGATTAATATTCAAATAGTTGTCATCATGACGTACATAAAAACGTAAAATATCTTCAATATTGAATCATATTCATATCATTATGTTTCACAGATTCCTCGATTGAATAGAAACATTTGTACTTCGGGAAGGTTGTGGAGCGAAGAGCTTTTTGCTCACAGAGACAGTAAAGAAAACAATCCAAATACGCCATTTGACTTTTCTCAAGCAAATTTAAGGGTGTAGTATTTATTTTTTATCACTTTTACTTCATTCCCTTCACTCCATTTAAAATATTTGGCTTAGTAAAAAATGTTTGGTTTCTTTCATTATAAAATGATCATTGTAAATAATTTAAAACTCTCATCTAAAACCTAAGTTGTCCCTCTTCGCAATAACGTTTCAGAGACTAACAGCTATTATTCAAAATTATCCCGAAGGGGCGCAGCGTTCTGCGCTTGGAGCAGCAATGGATATTGTTCAAAGGCAAATCGGATGGATACCCATATCAGCTATGCACAAAGTGGCCGATATTCTCAGTATTCCCCGTATGAGAGTCTACGAATGGGCTACATTCTATACCATGAATAAAAGGTACTTAAAGAACAGGAATACAAATATTTTTTATATCAATAAATACGTATTTATTTTGTATTAATTGTAGGAGATTCCGCGGAAAATTCAATGTGAAAGTTTGTATAACAACGCCTTGTATGCTGCGTGGATCGGACATCATTTTAGCAGCTGTAGAAGAGGCAACCCGCTGTCGTGTGGGAGGTCTGTCCAGTGACAAAATGTTCGGCGTGGATGTCGTTCAATGCCAGGGCGCGTGTGTTAATGCACCCGTTCTTGTTGTAGACGACGATTACTATGTAAATATATCGTTATTGTTTTCAATATCCACAAAAGTAATTAATTTTACTACCACAAAAAGTTTTGAAAATAATCATTTTAAACATATAGTAATACGAAAAAGCTAATTTTCTAGCTTCTTTGTATCTATATTTACAGGAAGATGTAACTGTATGTGATGTGAATGAAATTATTCTGACTTTAAAAGATGGAGGCATACCACCTTGGGGTCCTCGGTAAGTAATAAGTGGAACATTTGTGTTTTTTTTAGTGTATTGTTTGTATATTTTAAGATTTTACGAGCAAAAACTAATAGCGAAGAAAGTAATGACATTGAGATAATGATTTTAAAATTATATCTATTTTAAAAACCTTATCACATTTTATAAATAACTAACTATTATAGATTTTGTCTTTAAAATATTACGAGTATATTGAGTATATATTATTATGTATATTTGAAACGCTGTTAGTAATGTTCGGTAGAATTGATTACTAAGTGACAATTTAATTCCTAATATCCTTATAATATTAAACCATGACCTATTTAATATACCTGATCATACTAATTCTTACATTGATTTTTCTTCCTAAAAGGAGTAGATATTATAAGCATGAGTGATTTATTTCCCACTTTCAAAGACCATTGAAATTATTGAAGTTAATTGTTTTTATACAGCTGTGAGATATTTAATGTGTATTAAACCAGTATTTAATACTTATTGGTTTTCAACCATAAATAGCGATATCAAAATTATGCCCTCTTGATAAATCAACCAGAATATCAGTTTATTATTATTGGCAGTTCTAGACATGACAGCAGAGATTGATAAGGAAAACCATCCCTCTATTTTATATAATAATGCCAGCTATTTTATATAATAATGCCAGCTTACCTTACTTCACCCCAATCAAGGATCTTTGTAAACAATTAAATTAAATATTTTTCTTATCTTCACAAATTAAAAATAATTCTAAAAAAACTTTTTCAGTTTTATGAAGTTTTTTATCTTATTTTATAGGAATGGTAGCATAATGATCACTCCCACATTTCTAGTTTTGATTTTAAAAATCGAAGTTATTCTCGTTTCACAAAGAATAAATTTAATGAAACAGAGCAATACTAGAACCTATTTTTATTTACTTTATGTTTGACTCTTACTTGGCAGTTACAACCATATTTCCACACTCCTTTAATAGAACCTTCTTGTCTTTAAAGTTATGGTAAAACTTCTAGAATACATTTTTGCTTTCCATGTATAAAATAAGTTGTATTTTATTCTTATTTTTTTAAGGAATTCTTCTTAATAAATAATATAATTTTTTGTGATTTTAAATAATTAATTAGTTATTGTACGATTTATATAATATAGTGTTTTATATATGGGTAACGCTGGCGATTGTTTTAGTAATCATTCTCAGCCCAGTTTCACCAAACTCTGTTTGATAATCTAAACGAGGAATTTACTAACGAACCTTCAAAAATATTAGGGTCTATTAAAATATGTACGTTCCATGATAAAAAATTAACAACGCACTATTAAATTTCACGTTAAATTACCGATTACCAAAATATTCGTTCTTGTTCTAAGACGACCAATTTTGCATATCGTTGATTGCATAGAATACAAAAAGCTTTCATTTCAGTTTACTAGGCATATGCTGTCAAAATCGTGTTGCCAATAAATTGTATTATAAATATAGACATAAATTGTGTTCAAGTTATAAAACATTAAAACTTAATTTCCAATATCAAAGAAAAGCTGGAGAATAAACGTTTCATCATATGAAAAAGAAATATTAATTCACCTTATTAATACTTATAAAGAAATAGACGAAACTGACCAAGTAGATACCGTTACTATGGCTACAAAAAGTCAGGGGTTCGATCGGACATTTGTGTTTTGACTATACAATTAATTAACAGTCCGTTAGCCATTTGACGGACCTCTAGGGTAGGAATTAATATTAATAGTTTTGTTAAAACATTTTAACTGACATTATCTCGTGGTGGGACGCTCGATACTTCTAAGAGACCATTAAACGCCCTAACAAGACGTTATTTATTTAATATTGATTGCTGAAACTGGGTCTTAAAGAACAAAACAGCTTATTCCCAATAAGTTTTCATTTAAAATTATTTTATAAAATTAATAATTGATAGATAGTTATATTAAAAACTTGTGGTATATGACCTTAATAACAGTATGTGCAATCGTCAGATTTGACTTCAAGATTAACTTTCAGCTCCGGTAGGACTTCCTGTGAACCAATAACAGGACAAACGACTTTATGTGAATATCCTCCCCAACCAGGCTTTGGTCTCCAACCATCTTTAAGTGGCCGCTGCAATTAGTATAAAATATTATATTATATTTATAAAGCAGAAATAAATGATTATGTTAATTTGTTTACCTCAAACATATTATTATTTTCCTTTTGTAAATCCCGTGTAATACTATTTAATAGATCTGATATTTTTTATTTTATGTAACTTCGCAATTCTTACATGTTTTTTCTGTTATACCAATAACTATGGTTTTAACTATTCTGATCGTATTATGATGTAACTACAATAACCTTATCTCCAATAAAACATAAATCAGGTAACTCGCTATCTCTATTAATTAAAAGGTCCTGCTCTAGTCCCGGTACCTTTTAGTTTGGTAATTAAGTAGTTCCTGACTGACAATTACATTTGATATTATCTCGCAAACGAACCTTAATAACAGGTGAGACTAATTTTCTGGAAGACTTAGTTTCTACTGAGTGATTGTTTAGATAATCAAATATTGAAGACATATGATTGACTTAAAATAAATTGCAACAAATTTAGGTTCCTAAAATATATATATAATTGTTGTAATTTTTTTTGATACAGTTGCATGAAAAAACAAATTCACCTCGCTTCTTAGTATATAAATAAATCTTAATTTACTAACTTTATACATGAATGTTTATCCTACATACTTAACAAGTTTTCACTCTTAAAGATTTAAGACCAAATCTCAGTTCATTGTAGCCCAAAATAATAAATATTTAAATATGGTACCATAATAGGAAAGTCTGTAAATAAAGATTGGAAATGTAAGAGAATTCCCTAAAGACAAAAAACGTGTAGTCTCAGTTAAAAGGAAACTGTTCTGCAGCAATTGCTTTGAGCTCAACATCAGGCTGTCGACTCTTCACATTTTCCCTTGAGGGCCATTTATATTTTTCGGTTATATTTTTTAAAAATATTACTGAGAAAACAACATTCCAATACAATATTTTCTATGAATCTCTATCTCGTTTCTTCTAATACGTGTCATTTTTTTTTAATAGAATTTTTGTGTATGAACGAGTTAAAACTCAAATTTGAAAAGTAACATTTTCTAACCATCCGCTTAATGTGACATTTATTAATTGTTATATTGAGAACTTATTTATAATAAATACTTTAAAGTAATAATTAAAATCAACTGGTCAACAATCATCAACAACTTTCTAAAATAACAACTTTCTAAATTTGGTTCTTGTAATTGAACTCTTAAGGTTTATATCTTAATTTTGGAAATTTTTAATACGCTGGAACTATTTACTATATTATTACCATTTGTTTAGTTCCGTATCATGACAAAATCACTCTAACAATAAAATCATACAATGAAATTATGTCCCCAGAATAAAAAAAATCTTTCTATGCGTCAGCTACATGTTGACCTTTGAAACAAAGAAGTAAATATACAACAAGGTAATTCAGCGTTTCAAAATGACATTTTGACTAATTACTCATGAAACCTGTCCAAATACTAAAACACAACGAGATTTAGTATTCATTAAAATTCTCGCAAAAGTTAAAAAAGGATCTTATAAAATTTACTCTAATGAAAGCTGATATGAAAAAATTCTTGCCTTTCAATATTTATTTGACACTAGCTTTCCGCCCGCAGCTTCGCCGCGTGGAGTTCGGTTATATCGCGTTTCCAAGAGAACCTTTCAAAAGTCTGGGATAAAAACTATCCTATGTTCTTTCTCAAAGTCAACTCTATCTCTGTACCGAATTTCATTAAAATCAGTTCAGTGGTTTAGGCGTGAAAGCGTAGCAGACAGACAGACAGACAGACAGACAGACAGACAGACAGAGTTACTTTCGCATTTATAATATTAGTAGGGATAATATTTACTACCTTAATATAATCTGTGTATGTGTTCAAAGAAGATTAATATAGTTATTCAAAATAAATATTTTCCATTACATTTATTACATTATAATAATGTTATACACGGATAATACATAAAAAAGAAAACAAAAGGCAACAATGAAAAATACTTACCCAAATATAAACCAGATGCCGTTGTAACTTCTACCGAGCCTTGATTTAAGCCGTCGTTTATCATGAATCTTAATAAAAACAGCAAGTTCTACGTCGCGTTCGAACGATAATTTACACTGAACAAGTGTTTCAGACACGAGACCATATTGGTTCATACAAGGTTATGATACGAAAATCTGTCCACCTCAATGCTTCCACTGTTATTTAATTCAAATTTTTAGGTAAGTGCAACATTATAAATCTGGAATATGTGAAAAACAAAAATAAAGTAACTATGCCACATACTGGATTTAAAACTAAAATAAGAGAAACTACTCACTGAGATAAGATGAAAAACTAAGCTTTTCATTAATCTAAAATATAGTTATATTCCAAAATATAGTAGAAATGAACCGATCAAGTCGCAATACTAAACAACCCAAAATAAAGTAAGCAAGTTACTGCTTGGACTGACTGAAAGGAAAAAGAAAATAAGGGTAGGCCGTTGAAATAATGGTCACATGAAATTAAAGATATATTTTTTGTCAACAGTCATTTTGAAAAAAAAAGAAACTTCACCCGTACACACTGTACTAGGTGAATTACAATTTAAATAAAAGAAATGTTCTCTGTAGTCAATTTAGGTAGCTATGATATACTATAAAATTACTATTTTCTTTTAAAATCATGGATTATAAAGAATTTCATTGATGCCAATTCAATAACAGTACTGACAAAATAGTAAAAGTCAGTGGTGGCCTAGTGGTTAAAGGGTCCGCCTCTCGTTGCCGAGGGCGCGGGTTCAAACCTGGCAAGTACCAATGTCATTTTTCGGAGTCATATGTTCTTTCTGAGAGTATTTAGACATCACTGACATACGGTGAAGGAAAAACATCGTAAGGAAACCTGGACTTATAGTTTCACAATTATAAGTTTGAAATCGCCAACCCGTCTTGAGCAAGCGTGGTGATTAATGCTCAAACCTTCTCCATGTGACAAAGAGGCCTTTGCTCAGCAGTGGGCGCTGAAAGGCTGATGACGATGACGACTGACAAAATAAAAGATGATCAATAATCATGTAATATGTTTGTATTTTTAATTTTTAAGATATTGTGTATTCTACCCTACTTATTTATATGTCAAATTTACTCTGATTTAACAGTATTTTTTATGTAGGTACGTAATTTACTACCTACAAAAAATCTGAAAAATTACACATGTTCAAATACAATCTAGTATTATGATTATTATTATTTCAGGTACTGTATCTGCTTGATGATAAACGTTTAAACTTTAAAATAAATATTTAAAAGTTACATTCCTATACTGATGTATTTTTCGGGACTTAATTAATTTGTTTTTCTTGTAATTTAACCTTTTCCTCCTTACCTTTACATTTTGCCTGAATCAAATTAAAGAAAAAGGGGTGAACTTCGGAATAAAGTATGAAATTCGTAATGCTTAAAAAGATAATGTTTACTTCAAAATGAGCAATTTGTAACTCATATATTATATTTCACATTACAATTTAAATTTAAATTATACTAACATTATTTTTTACACAATATATTTTTCTATTTCTTGTTATTTACCAATCTTAAAGTAACACGACTATGTTAACAATGATTAAAAAAACAATAATAATAAAACCATTTTAAAATTCGTCATTAATTTCTTAAGTACATGTAAAATTTTGAATAAACAGGCATAAAGCAATTGTCTCTCACATTAGAGTTTACCTTGGCAGTATCAACAAACTAATAAAAATACTTTATTAAGGTACTACAACAGTTCTTGGCATGTACATAAAATACTATATTACTTACATATTACAATAGATAATATTAATTGTTTATTATTTTGAATAATTGCCTGTGTAATATTCTAATGTAACAAAAAAATACAGCTAATTACTATTAGCCAGACGGTTTTACGTTGGTTTTACACAGTGACCTCCATTAAAGGATTTGTGGACGCGCACTGTAAAGAAAAAACTTAACATTTTGTTCCATTTGTTAATTTTAAACATAGTATTCATAAATAAGGATTATGTAAGATTACATTCTGCATACTATGTCCTATACTTTGATAATTTTGTTATTTTTAATCTTTTTTTCAAATTCAATATAATAATAAGACTGCAGTTTTGACAGCAGCTGAGAATGACGTGACTACATGTTAGATAATTTGTTAGTAAAAATATTCAACACTAAAAGATTTTGAAGAAAAAAGTTTTATAAAATATAAGACTATAATAATAGATATTATAATATTCTAAAGGAAATCGGTACAGTATCATAACTTTAGCTATATATATATAATCCTTGGTTTTAAGTTAAAAACTAACAGAAACTTTTAATTACTCCTCGTCTCTGTAAAATGGATTGCAAGACAACTTTTAATTTTGCTTTTGCTACAATATTTTATCTAATTACTAGGCTACCCAAACATTATTATATTTAGGACTAACTAGTTGAACTAACATAACATTTGCTTAATAATGACTTGTATGGAGAGGAGTTCTTAATATCTAAGATATAAACGTTTTCAAGCTTGAAAAGTTATCGCATATATTACTTCATGGCATATTTAATTAGTTTAAAACATTATTTAACAATATCAAAAACAAAGTGATTTTATTATTAAGGTATACATTTGCATTAAATGTAAAGATTTAATAAATGACGATTGAAATAAGACGATAGACAGTTCTAAAATATTTATTTTAATGGTTTATAGAGGTTTATCCTAAAATGTTATAAAATTTACAAGGCACATAAACGTCGTTTTAGACGGTTCCATTACCGAAGGATAAAAGTTAAACAAGAGACAGTGAAGGTCAAGATATTTTCTGTATTGCCATTTTATTAATATTTTTAAATTTCGTCCCTAAATCTCCCCCTTTTCAATCTGTTGTAATTTTCTAAATAAAACCTACGTTGGTAAGTAAGTTTTAAATAGAATAATAACATCAGTAAAAATTAAAATTCCATTTAGATGAAATAAGAATAAATAGACTATTTACACTTAGTTTACAGCTCGTATACGTCTTTTTTTAGTT